TTTTTTTTTAAGTGTGTGGGGGAGGGTGGTTTGAGAAAGAGTCTTCTTTTATTATCCTGGGTACAGTGCCATTGTGTCATAGCTCACAGCAACCTCAAATTCTTGCTTCAGCCAAGTAGCTGGAACTACAGGTGCCCAGCTCTTTTGAGAGATGGGTTCTCACTCTTGCTCAGGCTGGTCTCCAACTCCTGACCTCAGGCAATCCACCCACTTGTGCCTCCCAGAGTGCTAGGATTACAGATGTGAGCCACCATGCCTGGACAAGATTAACATTTCTGTGAAAGGGAGTAATTCTAACATCTTCTAAGGTTGGTCCCTGACACAGCATCATTCACTCTGCAGAAAAAAGATGACCTTCATCACCTCTTGTAACCCCTTCCTGCATTCCAGCTACACTAATAAAAGCATCTTGAAATTGCATGGCAGCAAGCTGACTCCTGTTCAGACTCCACTCTGTTCCTTTTTCCTCCTTTCTCTGCTAATAAAGCCTTTCCTTAATCCCTGGACTGGTCTGCTTTCCTTGCAGACCCTCACACAAACTCTAGCCCTAAACCTCACAGGTGGGCCCACTGACACCATAAGTGCTCTTGTAAGAGGGAGGCAGGAGAGTCAGAGAAGGAGATGTGACAGCTAGAAGATGGGGGCCACAAGTCAAGGAATGTGGGCAGCCTCTAGAAGTTGGAAAAGGCAATTCTCTGGCAATTCTCTCCCAGAACCTCCAGAAGGAATCAGCTTTGTCAATCCTCTGGAACTGTAAGATAATCAATCTGTGTTTTTTAAGCCAACCAAATTTGTCATAATTTGTTAGAGCAGCAATAGGAAGCTAATACAGGCTTGATCATTATGGCAGAATGTCCCAGGCATAAACAAAGGTAGATTATTTCCCCCAAGGACCTGCCCTTGATCTGCATGGCTGGGGATTTGAGATTGTGACAGGGCATGTGGCAGTCAGATACTGAAAGGTGCTTTTTTCCATGCAAAGAAACTGGAAATAATCCTCAAGGTGATGAGAGGCACTGAAGAATTAAAATAAGGGAGTGTGACAAAGGAGAATTGCATTTGAGAAGGATGGACTGGAGTCTGCAAGTAGGGAGAACAGATGGGAGACTACTTGATCTTCTCGGGCAAGAAATGATGAGAGCTCTTCTCTTATCACCTTCTAGAAAAATGCCCTTGCTTATTCCTTGAAAGTTGGGGTGAGAAGATTTAGGGAAAGAATGGTTATGCTCTTCAGATAATTTGAAATGCCGTCATAAGAGCAATTAGATGTGGTTTCTGTGCTGTTATAAGATCAAGGGATAATGTCATAAGGAAGTATTAAATGGACTATCAGGAAGCACATTCGAATAATTAGTTTAAAATGACCGAGACTTCTTTATAATTGTTCTGTTATTTTTCATCTATTCAACAAATATTTGAGCAATGAAGCTATGGCAGGCATCAGAAATATAATGGTGAACAGACACAGAACTAGGCTGGCTTTGAGTAAACTCTGGACAGACGAAACCAGCGAGATAACTCAAAAGCAGCGACCATAGACAAAGCGCCCGGTCCCCGCGCCGCGGGACTTGGCTCCCGCAGCCACCCCCTCGCCGGTGCCCGCCCCTTTCTCTTTGCTCCGCCCCCACCAGGCCCTCTCGTGGGCGTCCCCGAGGCCGCGGGATTTCTGTCTCTTGTATCGCGAGAGCTCCGCTGTGGCTGTCCGGTTGCAGGGCCCGCTGACAACGCTGCGGAGAGGTTTGTGTTGTTGCGGGGTTCCCGCAAATCCGCGGCTGGCCTGGAGGCTCTGAATAGCTTCCGGAGGCCGGGAACTGGGTTGTCCGCGGGCGGTGTCCCTGCGAAGGGGGTGGGGTGGGCTCCCTGGCTCGGGCCGGCCTCGGCCCGCGTGCGCGCTGTGTGTGCGCCTCCGGCCCGGAGCCTGCCGGGGGCCTCCCGTGGGCTGCGGGGCTCAGGGCCCGGGCTCCGGGCTGGGGCTGGGGCTCGGGCTCCGGGTAGGGCCCGTGGGCACGGTGATGCCGTCCGGGGAATCCTGTAGCTGAGTTTCAAGAACAGGCAGGCGTCGGGGACGGTCAGGGGCACAGTGGCGGGTGGCGGTGGTGAGCCCGGGGTGGGGCCCCCGCGAGGTCAGAGGTCGGCTGCAGAGCTTGGCGGCCCGGGTGACTGTGTCGAGCCGGGGTGGGGCCCCCGCGAGGTCAGAGGTCAGCTGCCGAGCTTGGTGGCTCTAGGGTGTTGCGGATGGGAAACTCTGGAAATGCCTTTTAGCCCTGGTCCTAAAGCAGTTGCTTTCCCCGAGGTTTGCGAGTGTAGTTGGTTTTCTTCATTCTCAGGTTTCAAAAACTTCAGGTATACAGAACCATGGAGTACGTGACAGGAGCCACCGACCGCAGCCCTGGACACATGTGAGTTGCTGCTCTTCGCTTAAATTGAAGGATCTTACATGAGTCTGTGAAACTTTGAGGGAGTGTTCTTTTTTTCATAAATGGGAAAAAAATGAAAGTTATTTTTATAGAAAGTTGAATTCATTTTTAGTTATAAAGTTTTTTTTTCCCTAATAAACACGTACATGCTTTAAGAGAGTAAACATTTTCACTGTGTATCCTTCTGGATTTCACTGTCTACTATGTAGTCATTAGCCACATGTAGCTATTTACTTTTATTTGTTATTATTTTTATGAGTTATAATGTAATCTTAAAATGACTTTAATTTTTAAAACTTATTTAAAATTTTTAATCAGAAACTTACTTAAATTTTTAATTTTTTTTTTTTTCCAGTTATTTGGAGGGGGCCGGGTTGAACCTGCCACCTCTGGTATACGTGTCCGGCGCCCTACTCCTTAAGCCACAGGCGCCATCTAAATTTTTTAATTACTAAAATATTTATTTTTGAAAAATTTTAAGATTTGTATATTTAAATTTAAATGACCTTTTTCTTATGCTGATCAAATAGTGACTACAGAGAGTTTTAAACTATTATCCTGAAATATCCAACCATGTAGCCAGGTAGCCAAATTTAATTAGCCAGTGCACATTGCAGCCCTTCTCTCCTAATTGTTTTTAATTTCACATGAAAACAGTTATTATTAGGGAACCGGAAACTTAGCTTTGTGGCCAAAAGTAAAAACCAAAGGAAAAATAGCAGTTCAGCAGCTGTTTGGTGAGAGCAGCAACTCCTCATTAGACCAGAAATAGTACATTTCTTACATTGCATGAAGTTCTGTTGGACAGTGCTGGCTCTAGACCATAAGGACATTGGCCTTATTTTGAGCATGTTTGGAATTGTGGCCGTCTTTGGTCTTTTACCGCACTATTATGAGTTTGTTCTTCATCTGTTGCATCTTTGAAGATGGCCTTGTTGCTAAGTCATTTTTTTTTAAAGGGGGCAAGAAATACTGTGGCCTAACTTAAAGGCTTTTATTTGTTTGGTGTTTTTAAAAAATGTAACTAATATGCTTATAAAATCTAATTTGAAAAACTTATTCTTTATTATTCAAGCTTGTGCTGTGAGTGTGGTGTTCCAATTAGTCCAAATCCTGCCAATATTTGTGTGGCCTGTTTGAGAAGCAAAGTAGACATCAGCCAAGGTATTCCGAAGCAAGTCTCGATTTCTTTCTGCAAACAGTGTCAAAGGTACGGTGTGTTACCATATCTCTCTCCTTCAAGTTGGAATTTACATTTAGGGAGCCAACTGACTATGCTGAGATCACACCAAGATGTGTAGATTAAAGCGGCGCTTTTGAGATTTTTATATTTATGTTGAATTTGCAGTTATCTAGTGTACTTTTCTAGTCTGTCCTGCTCATCTGGTAAAGATAGTGTAAAGGTAATGTAATCCGTCCTTTTTCTGTGAAAGGATAAAGTGTGATGTATACATGCGTGTAGTTAATAGATAGGAGTTGGTGTTTGTAAAGGTGAGAGCAGATCATGAAGGACCTTGTACCACCATTGTCATGAGTTGTCTTTAGTTATGAGAAGCTGTGTGTTTTAAAAAACACTTCATGTTTGAAGTAGCTTAGCAATGTATTTTAAAAACTATATTGTTTTGAAAACCATCATCGGGGGAGAGGGGAGAGGTTATGGATGAGAAATTACTCAGTGGGTACAATGTACACTATTTGGGTGATGACTACATTAAAAGCCCAAACTTCATGCAGTATATCTGTGTAACAAAACTGCATGTGTACCCCTCAAATCTATACAAGTAAAAAAAGAAAACTATCTATTAGTGCTCACGTGGAACTAAAATGACTACAGTTGGTGGAAGGGAAGCTTTATCATATCTGGAACGATAGAAATTTAAGATTGGATTTGAAGGCAGAGGCGTTTTCTGGAAGTTAGTGTTTCATTCCTCTTTATCTTTACCATGTTTCACCGAAAATAAGACACTGTCTTACTAGGGCTTATTTTCAGGGAATGTCTTCTTCTCTGCACTGAAATGCATGGCTTAAGTCTTATTATCGGGATACGGCTTATATTTAACAAATGCATAGAAATCCTGTTAGGGCTTATTTGGGGGATAGGTCTTATTTTTGGGGAAACATGGTAGTTGTTGGCATAAACAGGTTATATATATTAGGTTAGTGGTGCTCAATCTTTTTGACACTAGGACCGGTTTCATGGAAGACAATTTTTCCATGGATGAGGTAGGCAGGAGGGTGGTTTTTATATGAGGGTGCAAGCAATTGATTTATGGTCTCTGTATAGTCAGGCCTCTCTGCTAATGATAATCTGTATTTCCAGCCACTCCCCAGCCTCAGCTCCTCCTCAGATCAGCAGGCATTAGATTCTCTTAAGGAACTCACAACCTCCATCCCTCTTGCATGCCCAGTTCACAGTAGGATTCAGGCTCCTCTGAGAATCTGATGCCACTGTTGATCTGACCGGAGGCAGAGCTCGGGGGTGATGCAAGTGATGGGGAGTGGCTGTAAACACAGATGAAGCTTCCCTTGCCTGCCTGCCACTCATCTCCTGTGGTGCAGCCTGGTTCTTAACAGGCTGCAGACTGATACTGGGTAGGGGACTAGGGTATTAGGCCATTGACTAACAAAGAGCTGCCTGGTAAGTGTAAAATTATGCACCTGTGATTTCCCAAATGGGTTAAAACTCTAGTACTTTATTTTTGGGGGAGTGGGAATTGGCTTATGACCCCTTTGAGAATTTGAAAACTGTCTCCCCAGAAAAAGACTTACATGTACACATATACAAAGACATGAAACTTGGTGTACTAGCTCAGGGAATTTACAATTTTCAGGCTTGACAAGAGTGAGGTCTTACACAATTAACAAAGAGGTGGCCATTGTAGAGAGAATTTTGTAAAATTATATCATGAATATTTTGTAAATAAAGGTACATTTAGATAAAATTTTCCATTTTTCTCACATGGTGACTTTAGGGGCAACTTTTGAGACACCCCGTATGATAAATACTTGCTGTTCTCAAAAGCGTGGTGGAGTTAAAAAAGTGCTGGACAAAGAATTAAGTTCCCTAATTTGTCTTTGCTTTCTCACAAAGTAGGGTTTTGAAACTCTTGGCCATTTTTCATCTCTGGGCCTCAGTTTCCACCTTAGAATGAAGGAAGGGATTTTATTAGTTGATTTGTGAAGCCCTTTCTAACTCCAGAAGTGTGCTAATAAGCACAGTGAGGCTGGTGTAACATTTTTGATTGAACCTCGAAAAGCAAAAGTTAGAACTTGGAGTTATTTAACAGGTATGGCAAAAAGGCATTTACATACACATCGGGAAGTTCTGTGTGTTTAACAAACATTCATTCTGCACCTCAGCCGGTGCCAGGTAGGCTGGCTGAAAACTTTCAGGCACGTGCATGAGGGCTTTAAATTTCAGTTTATTTATTTATTTTTTTTGAGACAGAGCCTCAAGCTGTCCCCCTGGGTAGAGTGCTGTGGCTTCACAGCTCACAGCAACCTCCAACTCCTGGGCTCAAGCGAGTCTCCTGCCTCAGCCTCCCAAGTAGCTGGGACCACAGGCACCTGCCACAACGCCCGGCCATTTTTTGGTTGCAGCCGTCATTGTTGTTTGGCGGGTCCGGGCTGGATTTGAACCTGCCACCTCAGGTGTATGTGGCTGGCTCCTTAGCCACTTGAGCCACAGGCACTGAGCCTTAAATTTCAGTTTAGTCAAGCCTTACCTCAGATTTTAAAACTTGAGTTTTATAATTAAAAATTTGAAATTTAAAGAGAAACTTGAAATGTAGATGTATAGGCTGACCTATTGTTGATACATCGTATTGTGAGGTACCGATTTACCATTTTTGTGAGAAATGAACAGTTCTTAAGCAAGCATTTTATTAGCACATAATACATCATTTGAATGCCATTTCGAAATGATTCTTACCTGGTTTTTAGAGAATAGCTTCAAGAAACCCTTGGGTATTTTGTCATCTTCACTGGACTTTTTATTTTTTGCTGGGAATAGAAGTGATACGGCCACTTTCATGGTTATTTAAGATTGGTCTTCTCAGAATTTTATATTTTTAACTAAAGCTGCTGCTGACGTTGAAAGTTTTCTGAGACTGCCAAAATATATTTGGGTTAAGTGCTGTAGTGCTACAGGCCAGCCCTGGATCCTGCCTGATGAATACACAGTGTTGTATTTGTATATCCAGATGGAAATTTCTGTTTGTCCTGAGAGATGTTGGATTTCAACATGTTCATTTTCTTTCAGATATTTCCAGCCACCAGGAACTTGGATACAGTGTGCTTTAGAATCTAGGGAACTTCTTGCTTTATGTTTGAAAAAAATCAAAGCCCCTCTAAGTAAGGTAGGTGAAAACAGCTGAAGTCAGTGTTTGTGGCTATGTTTTCATTAGTACAATCATTTTCAGAAAATTTGTGTAAGCAGGTTTTTCAAAAATAACTGTTACATTTTACTGTTGTTATCAGTAGCACTCTACTACAAATGATGTTTTCATTTTTAAAGTTACATATTAATATAGTCTTTATTGAAAATGAAAATATGTTTTTGCTTTAAAAGACTGACAGAATTTTTTTCATTATCGAGGACCTCTTACATACATTTTTTTCTGAAAAATCTTTATATAAAAGCATCACTAAACATAATTGAGGCCATTGTACTGTCTGGTTACCCAAGCTGGATGCTTGAGCTTCATTCTAGAGTCTGTTCTCTTTCTCCTTTCTGAATCTAGTTATCATTAAATCTTACAGATTTTATTTCCTAAACAGCCATTGGATCTGCTTCTGTCATTTCCAGAGCCTCTCAGCTCCTGTCCACATTAATACAACAGCTCCCATTCTTGTTCTCTTAGTTGCCCCCAACCCTTGTCCCCAAATACCTATTCTGGCCATATTGGTTCACATTCATGGCCTCACAATATAGCAAACTGGCTTTCCCCTGTGTAGATGGCTGCAGATTTAACAGTGGGTTATGGCTGTGAGCTTAGCAGCGCATGAAACTTCCTCTAGTGAACGTCCATTCTGAGACTACAGAGTTAGTATAGAGAGAACGATCCAAGTTTGTCACCACGTCTTTGTTTTCTAATGGAAAACATAATTCCCTTTCAAAGAACTGTACTTTTTTTAGGGAAAGGGATTTTTTCCTTTGCAGATACTTGAATTTTTGCTTGAATTATATCAATTGCTTAACATAGTCGTTGGATTGTCCTTTTATTTGCTGCTGTTACCTCCCCTCTGATGATAAGTCTTTTTTGTCTTTTGTGGCGCTGGCATGTAGTGATGCCAGCCACAGATGCCAGAAGCATCTTTTGAATCTGTTTATTAAGGAGGTGTTCTTTCATTTTTTTTCCCACCTTAGTTAATAACTGATATTTCTGTATGTTTTATTGAAGGTACGGCTTGTAGATGCGGGCTTTGTTTGGACAGAGCCCCATTCTAAGAGACTTAAAGTCAAACTGACTATTCAGAAAGAGGTGAGTGGTGCCCAGTTTTCTCAGCATGGCTAAAATGTAGGTGGTGGGAATGAGGCTTAGTGGTAAGTCGTTTTATGGCTTAAACAACTTAAAAAGGAAAGAATGGCTCTTGATTTTAGTATTTTGTTTTCTTTTGATCATCTATGCAAGTAATGAAGTCACTAATAAGAGCAGCCCTTGCTCATGATTTTTATTAGGAAAAAGACTAAAGTAAAAACGTGGGCTTAGGCATTAATTCTCACACTTGGCTGATGATTATAGTGTCTCAGAGTAACTGAGTCAGAATCTCTGGATGTCAGGTCCAAGAGTCTGTATTTAGGTTGAGTATACCTTATCTGAAATGCTTGGGACCAGAAGTGTTTTAGATTATTTATTTATTTTTTTAATTTTTTAATATTTGCATTATGTTTACTGGTGGAACGTTGCTAAAGAATGTATCCAATGAATGTCTCCTTTTAGTGTCATAATAGACACTCAAAAATTGGCGTTTGGAGCTGAAATTTCAGATTGCGGGTTTTTGGATCTGAGATGCTCAACCTATCTTGAAGAAACTTCCAAGTGATTTCTGAACCCTATGTTTGGGAACGACTGAATTAAGTAGTAATTTCCTTTTGAGAGTTTTCCTTGCCTTATATTGAATGACATAAGTATGAGTTCTGTATATTTACATATACACTTGTAAGTTCTTTGGAGAATATCCTCACCACCTTTTCAACTAGAGGCAAATTTAAAAGGTTAATCTGGTAAATCTTGGATTAAACCTGCATACATTTGTTGAAATAGTGTAACTTATTGTCATGACTTTGTTTGACTGATGTCCTCAAGGCATTTTTTATTAAAGCACCTTTAAAAAAAAATTGTATTAAACAGAACCATAAGAAAGAAGGCGTATAATTGTTTTCTTTACCAGGTGATGAACGGTGCTATCCTTCAGCAAGTGTTTGTGGTGGATTATGTTGTTCAGTCCCAAATGTGTGGAGACTGCCACAGAGTAGAAGCTAAGGATTTCTGGAAGGCCGTGATTCAAGTCAGGCAAAAGGTAATGAGAGAAAGGTGCTGAGTGAGGCCTGCGGCCGGTGTTCCATCTTGGCCAATTACAGACACTAGGAAAGCTACTCCTTCCCTTCTCACCATACCCTTCAGATGCTGAGGGTATCCAGGTGCCTGAGCATTCATCCTTGGGAATAGGTCATTATTATATTTCAGATACTCGTTTTTGTTTGAAAAATGAGTGTGCTATATCTATAGGTGATATGTGTGTGCTCTAGAAGTGGCCTTCTGGGGGCATTTAGTGATCTAAAAATGTATTTATATTTAGACTTTGCACAAAAAAACCTTCTACTATCTGGAGCAGTTGATTCTGAAATATGGAATGCATCAGAATACACTTCGCATCAAAGAGATTCATGGTGAGTTGAATTTTAAAAGCATTGAAAATGATGTGAAAATTATATTTCAGTTTATCTGAGTTATCTCCTTACTGGTAATGTCTGGGTCAGTACTGTTAAAAAGAACTTTTTGTTAGAAAGAAAAAAAATCTTAGTTCTCTGTACTGTTCAGTGTGATAGTCACTGGCCACATGTGGCTATTGAGTACTTGAAATGTGGCTAGTGCAGCTAAGAAACTGACTCTTTAATTTCCTTTTATTTAAATTTACATGAAATAGGCATATGTGGCTAGTGGACACTCTGTTGGACAGCACGTATCTAGAACTAAGATTATTTTTCTTTCTTCTCCTCCTTCCCCGATTCAAGCTATTAAGTATCTAGTTTGTGACAGATGCTATTCTAGGTTTTTAGAACATAATGATGAAGTCATATTAATTCCTCCGTGGATTACTCATCACGCTCCCAAATGGGGCTGCCAGATTTAGTAAACTGCATTAAGAGTGTAAGTGCTATCAGTTCATCAAAAACTCGGTTTATTAGAGGATGAGTTTCTGATTGGAAGAAGGTAATTATTTGGGGATCCGCAAGGTTTTGTGTAATGCTTTCATGTTTTTCATATGCCGAGGGGCTTTGTGATAGATAAATTCAGAAGCCTAAACTTGTTATAACAAACAGTGATACGCAAATAATATAGTTAGATTTCTTTCTTTTTTAAAATTTTTATGTATTTATTATTTATTTTTTTTTTAGAGACAGAGTCTCACTTTATCACCCTTGGTAGAGTGCTGTGGCATCACAGCTCACAGCAACCTCCAACTCCCAGGCTTAGGGGATTCTCTTGCCTCAGCCTCCTGAGTAACTGGGACTATAGGTGCCCACCACAACGCCTGGCTATTTTTTGTTGCAGTTTGGCCGGGACCAGATTTGAACCCAACCACCCTTGGTATATGGGGCTGGCACCCTACCCACTGCCCCAGGCGCCGCCCTAGTTAGATTTCTTAATGATGGAATTTTAAACTATTACATAATTTCACAGTTGTTCATTAGAACTTGTTCTGTCTTAGCACTTACTGTTTGATGATGATTCTTTTTTCTTTTTGAGACAGAGTCTCACTTTGTCCTTGGTAGAGTGCTGTGCTGTCACAGCTCACAGCAACCTCAAACTCTTGGGCTTAAGAGATTCTCTTGCCTCAGCCTCCCAAGTAGGGGGAACTACAGGTGTCCACCACAACGCCCAGCTATGTTTTGGTTGTAGTTGTTTTTGGCAGGCCCGGGCTGGATTTGAACCCGCCAGCTCTAGTGTATGTGGCTGGCTGGCGCCCTAGCAGCTGAGCTACGGGTACCGAGCCTGTTGATGATTCTTAATGCTACCACACTGTCATCACTGTTGTTTGTAGTCATTTCTACTGTCTGGGACTTAACGGAAGTTGTTTTTCTTTTTTTAATCTTAATATGTGATTTTTTAAATGAATGTTTTATGAATATTTGAAAAAATGGGTATTCTTTCTTGGGACAATATTCTGTAATCTTAATCAAATCAACCTTGATAGTTGGTTATTCAAGTTCTATGTATTGTTACTATTTTTTGTCAGTTTGATCCTTTTGGTTTTGAGAGAATCTTATGCTAGGCCCCCTCAAGGGTTATGCATATGTTAATGTTTTTAATTTATTTTTCTTTTTTAAAATAGTTTTTGTTTTCTATATCTCAGATGGATTCTTAATATCTTGGGCAATTCCTTCATTTATTACATAAAATATCCTTTGTTCTTTGTTTTTATTTCCACCTTCACCTTGAATTTTATTTTGTCCAGGGTTAAAGTTATAAATCTTGTTTTTGTTTGTTTTCTTTGATGATTTTGTCTGTCATTTTGTCACTCTAGTCTGAAGTAATATCCTTAATCCATTTACTATATTTTGTATCATTTCTAATTGATTTGTTTAATATGGATTTAATTTGTGATATTGTGATTGTAATTAGCAAAAAATCTTGTTTTGCAGAATGATTTTCATGTGGCTTTTTATTTTTTTTTTAAGATGGCCTGGATTTCTATTATTCCTCAAAACAGCATGCTCAGAAGATGGTAGACTTCCTTCAGTGTACAGTTCCTTGTAGGTATGTCCCGAACCTAAATGTGACTAAGTCCAAGGACGTAGGAATGGATGTAGACCACATCTGTCCTCCAGCCTTAGACAGCTTCTTTTAAGTTAAAATACTTAAAAGTGTAATAAGACTACTTACATAATCAGGAGCGTTTATTGGGTTAGCCCCTTTAAGGGATATATTAGCCAAGGACTGTCTGCTTGGGGAGCTAGACCTAGCCTATGATAGTAAGCTTGTGCTCCAAAGATGGGGAAATTTTCATAGGTGGAGTTTGTATTGAAGGGTGAGATAAGTGTGAGTGAAGACTTGTAGCAGGCATTGCTGTGGCTCTGATGGTTGCTGCATATAGTAGATTGGTGTGAACCAAGGCTATGATTTGGAAGTTTTTAGTGGATAAGGTAGAAAATAGGTAGGGTGTAGTTAGAGTGGTGAAGGTGTTGAAATGCAAGTGGCAGGAATGAGACTTTATCACAGCAAGCATTAGGAAACTGTTTCAGACCTTGGACAGTGATGATTTGATTTGTTGAAAATGTATATTCCTAACCCCTGGCAATGGGCAAAGAGGCACCTCATTGGTGGTGTTCCTCTTACATCAGTCAGGGGCAGAGTAGACGGACAGCCCTTTGTTCATCCTAGCTTGATGCCTGGGTTGGTGGCCAGAGCTGTTTCATGCCTAGGGCACAGAAAATTATGATACTGGATTCTCATTTTCTTTCTGGGTCTTTTTTTTTTTTTCTTTTCCTCAAGACAGAGTCTCAAGCTGTCATCCTGGGTAGAGTGCCATGGTGTCACAGCTCACAGCAAAAAAAAAAAGAAAAAAGAAAATGTATATTCCTGAGTCTGTATAAATAAGGACCTTTGTCTTTACTGTTAACTTTTTTCTTGATAGATACAAAGCGTCACAAAGATTGATCTCTCAGGATATCCATAGTAACACATACAATTACAAAAGCACTTTCTCTGTGGAAATTGTTCCAATATGCAAGGTACTTTTATGTCATTCAATTAAGAATACAAGTGATTAATTGCCTTATATGCAATTTGTAGCTATTGGTTTTCTCCTGGGGTTAGTTAAAAATTTTGAATAACTTTCTTAAATGATTTCTGACATATTCAGCTGTGTTAAAGATATATTTTAAAGTAATTATTGAGAATCTGTATAGAAGAATATGTAGTGAGGATTATATAGCTACAGGTCTCCACCATGTAGGTACTTACATGTTGATATTCAGTCCCTAGTAAGGATAACTGCCATATGACTATGGTATCTTTTTCTACCTTGTTTACATCTCAAAATAACTGAGGTAAGCCGTATTATTTTGAAGATGAGGAAATTGATGTTTGGGAAGGTTAGACAACTTGCCAAAAGTAACATAACCACAAAATGATGAAGCTTGTTATTGTTAATTTGTAGTATAGTACAGTATTAGGGATAAAATGACAGCTTAAAATGGGGCCAGCAGACTTCTTCTGTAAAGGGCCAGATCATAAATACAGTAGAACCTCTGTCACTTGACCACCCAAGTGACCGTAACAAACTGGTCAACATGTGGAGGTGCCCTACCCTGATATATTTGATGCATGTCTGGTCTATGAAACTAGGTCAGCGTAAGGAGGTGGTCAGTGTACAGTCAGCTGTGGAAGTTCTACTATATTTTCAGTTTTTAGGCTATTTACTCTCTTTTGCAACTACTGAGCTCTGCTGTTACTCAAAAGCAGTGTGGATAATAAATATTTAAGCATATGGCTGGGGCTGTATTCTGGCAGTACTTAATTTATATAAAAAGGCCATGGACCAGATTTGTCCTGAGAGTCCTATTTTGCTGACCTCTGGTTTAAAACAGTCATCTTGTTTTTGGCACAAAGCCTGAGAGATAGGAATTTAGGTGTGAGGGTGTATTCAGGTCTTGTGTTTTAAATGCTTTGACTAACTTAATTGTGTAACCCGGGGACACAGCATGTAAAGAAGTGTTTTCATTTGTCTTCGGAAACTCTTGAGTTGAAAACCAAGTAGTAAACTAGGAGCTGTTCTGCTCAGAGTATCCCCATAGTGGAGAAGCTTAGGATTGTGAGTAGATACACCTTAAAATATAACTCTGATCCTTTCTGTATTTTAATACAGTTTAAAAATAGATGATTTCATTGCTGGTTAGTATCTTTCAGTATTCACATAGACATATGTGACTTTTTTAGGCATGAAATCTTTGATTACATACTGGTTCATGTAGCCATGTAAGAGAAACATGTTCTCTTGAAATTTTTTTTTTTTTTTTTTGAGACAGAGTCTCAAGCTATCACCGTGGGTAGAGTGCTGTGGCATCACAGCTCATAGCAACCTCCACCTCCCGGGCTTAAGTAATTCTCTTGCCTCAGCCTCCCAAGTAGGTGGGACTGCAGGCGCCTGCCACAGCGCCCAGCTATTTTTTGATTGCAGTTGTCATTGTTGTTTGGCAGGCCCAGGCTGGATTCAAACCCCCCAGCTCTGGTGTATGTGGCTGGCGCCTTAGCTGCTTGAGCTATAGGCATCAAGCCTTGAAATTTGTTTCTTATGGAGATTGAAAGAAATCATAAATGAATTAGAAAATCACTCTCCTACTAATGTTTATAATGCTTTGCTTAGCGTGCATACTATATTTACATGTAGAGTGATAACCAAGAATTCACACTGTGTAATAAAATTGAAATAAATTGTATAATAGCTTGATGAATGGGCTCTAGTGATCTTTAAAGCATTTTTATTAACATAAATATTCCTGTCTTTAAAAAGTAGAGCTTTATTTTCATTTTATTTAAGGTCTGATTCTTTCCTTAGCCCCTTTGCTGATAAATAGAATTAAAAATAACTTCTTAGTTGGGCAAGTGGGGTTGGAATGGGTTCACATTGATTAGTGTTTATTGGACTGTTATTTAGGGTTTGCCTCACTCTAAATATTAGTCTTGATTCTAGGATAATGTTGTCTGTCTGTCTCCAAAACTGGCACAAAGCTTGGGAAATATGAACCAGATTTGTGTGTGTATTCGAGTAACCAGTGCCATTCACCTCATTGATCCAAACACCCTACAAGGTAAGTTGTGGGTGCTATTTGCCTTGACAGTTGGGTTCTGTATGGCAGGCAATAATAATTTGTATTCTTAATTTTATCAAGCATTCTTGATAATATTTTGAAGGGGTAGTTAAAATTTGTTATTGTTTAATACTTGAAAAGCACTGGAAGGCCAGGCGCGGTGTCTCCCACCTGTGATCCTAGCACTCTGGGAGGCCAAGGCAGGAGGATCACTTGAGCTTAGGAGTTTGAGACCAGCCTGAGCAAGAGTGAGATCCAGTCTCTCCTTAATAATAGACAACTTAGTCACACATCATGGTGAGTTCCTATAATAATCTCAAGAGTGAGATCCAGTCTCTCCTTAATAATAGACAACCTAGTCTCACATCATGGTGAGCTACTCGGGAGGCTAAGGCAGGAGGATCACTTGAATCCAGAAGCTTGAGGTTGCTATGAGCTAGGCTGATGCCAGGACACTCTAGACAGGGCAACAGAGTGAGACTCTGTCTCAAAAAACATCCCAAAAATAGCAACCAAAAAGAACAAAACAAAACACACTGGAATTACAAAGCTTTTAAAAAAATACCCTTGTATATCTTACTTAAATAATTTTCTGTACTTTTACAAATTTACTAGTTTATTCCATTAATTTTTAGTGAAATGGATTTATCTACTTCACTTAATTTTTGTGACTACTAAGTTCATTGCTAAATTTTGTTGTATAGCAGTTATTATCTAAATTTTTAGAATATTAGACTTTATGTCATCCAGTGGATTATTTAGTTTGAATATGAATTTTAATTCCATCATTATAGATCATTTCTAAATATTTCCTTTATAGAATAAATTATTTTTTAAAAGACCACATTTTAATAGGTATCTTAGTATTTGGCTGATCCCCTACTTCTTGGTCTTTTTCATTATTATTAATGTAATTTTTCTAGTGTAATTCTTTATTTTGATATTTTTCAAAAAGTCATTCATTATCCTTTTCAGTTAGAATTCATCAGTGAAAGGCCTGGTTGTAGTATTAGGATGGACATTCTTTATCTGTCTGGTAGAACTGGGCTTTATCTCCTATAAGCTGAGTAGCTGATTGTTAGGTTTCTAAAGTGAAATGCCAGGACTTGGAACAACTGTAACTAACTGGATCTGATTGTAAATTTATTAATAAAAAGTATTGAACACTGTGGCATTCTTATAGCAGCTGATTAAGGTACATTTAACGTCTAGTATTTCTCTTTTGCTTTGAGAAATTGGGATTGATTGATAGGAATAAATGTGACCCCAGAAAGTGGGTGGGTCCAGTGGTTCTGGGTGACCTGCTGGTGTGTATGAACTTCTTCCTGCGGAACACATTTGATGACTTCTAGAAATACGTGATTTCTCTTGTTCTTTAGTATTCTGTGCTTATTCTTAGTTGCAGATATTGATGGGAACACATTCTGGAGTCACCCTTTTAATAGCTTATGCCATCCCAAACAGCTAGAGGAGTTTATCGTGATGGAGTGCAGCCTAGTCCAAAATCTGAAGCGCGGTGCGGGTGCTGGGATGGTATCAAAAAAGGTAAGCTGTAGCCTGTTTGTGTTTTTTTTTTCCTCTAGCTTATTGTTTCAGTTCTTCCTTTTTAAAAAAAAAATTAAAATGTAGAGTCCAAATAAAGCTAGTACACATTAGATTAAAAATGCATTGTATTTTTTGCTTTTTAAAACATGGTTATTGTGAAGATCATCTGACTTACCCTATCTGATAAGTTAATTTATTCTCATGTTGGAAAAAATATTAGAAAGGTTTATCCCATTATTATAAAAATATATTTCCTCATTTTATTTTTGTAGAGAAAGACCAAAGAACCACCTAACCTTTTGACTTTTTAAATACCAAATACTCAGCATATATTTCTAAAACAGAAACATTTTTCTGTCTAATTAGAGTATAGTTATCAGATGTATGAACTGTCCAGTCTACACCATAGTCCCGCTTACCCACAGAGGCATGTATGTTCCAAGACCTACAGTACAGGCCTGAAACTGCAGAAGTGCTGAACTCTGTGTAAATGCTGTGTTTTTTCCTATACATACATAACTATGATAAAGTTTAGTTTATAAATTAGGTAAAGTAAGATATTTAACACCAACAACTGATAATAAACCGAACAAAATAGTGACAGCCAGATCCTTCCATTTAGTTATAACAAAATGCTATAATAAAAGTTATGTAAATGTGGCCTCGCTTTCAAGATACATAGTATCTTATTATATTGTACTCACCTTTTTTTGGACAGAGATGAACTGCAGGTAAATGAAACTATGGAAGGTGAAATCATGGATGAGAGGGACTCGGGTTTCCTCATTTGTCCCCAGAGTGTCTTTTGTGCTTTGTTCAAATTGGTATCTGGTTGGAGAACACAGATTATTGTGACTATTGTACCTTTTTGGTCTTTTTTGGTCTTGTTCCCACATTCTTGAAACAACTAGGGCATTATTTATTTGGTGGAGCACTCCACCTTTTCAATCTTCCTTTATTGTTTCCTTGTGATGTCATTTAACTTACTTCTTAACCTCTTGTATTTCCAGTAAACTGGAAAGTTGATCTAAAGGTTGGTTAAATTCAGGTTAAATTATTTTCTGCCAGAATCTTTCACTATGGTATCACATCAAGAGACAAGTCATATCTATTAAAATAGTGATAGCAGATGCTCCCGTTATAACATTGTGGTTTTTTTCCTCTTGTGGCCAGCAAGTAATCTGTGGGGTCATACTGTAATAATATGCAAATAGTAAGTTCTTATTATCTTATTTTTTCTGGCTTTAACATCTGTTGATAGTTCTTGCCCAAATAATTTTATTTAGGATTACAAAAGAGTGAACTTTCTATTTCTATTCTGTGCTTATTACTGGTATTATTTATTAAGGAAGAGCTTTTTGTTTTCAATTAGAGCTTCTTGGTTTTCCTGAAATGTTTTCTGCATAAATTCTTTTTTCTTTTTGCAGTTTTTGGCCAGGGCTGGGTTTGAACCCACCATCTCTGGTATATGGGGCTGGCTACTCCTTTGAGCCACAGGCGCCACCCTCTGCATAAATTCTTGATTCTTCTCTTTTAGTACGTATTTTCAGAGCAAGAGTTGATCTGAGTCACTTCCAGTGGTGAAAATTAGTTTAGACTTGCTTTTGTATTGGGTGGTGTCTCTTTCTCTGCGGTTATTATTACGATCTCAGGAAGTATTATGTCTGTATTGTATTTCCTTTCTCTCCTTTCTTCTTTTCTTCCTTCCCTTACTTCCTTCTCTCCATCTTCTAAATCTTCGTATTACCTCAAATTTAGCCAGTGGGACAAGGGTTTCTCCATCCTTCAGACGCGACTTTGCTGGTCTCTGAGAGCATCCTTATTTCTGGCACAACAGCACTGATTTTCAGTGTTCTAAAAACTCATCATGTATACTTTTAAACCCATGTCTAAAATCAAGTATTTCTTCAAGGATATAAGCCTGGCTTCTTTTAGTGTGAAATAATTTAGAGACCACTCCTCCAGAAAAAATCAGGATAAGATACTAAGGGTGTTCATTTCCTTAGCGGTAATACTGCTTCTTGACACAAAAATAATTTGTGATAATTTGGGAAAAATCAGTGGAAACAGAGTGAAGATTACTTTCTACATATTTAAAATTAAAATAGTTAAGAGCAAATTTTTAATTTACAGTGTTGAACACCACATCCCCTCAGAGAGATATAAAACCAGATAATATATTTATTTGACTTTTAAAAAACAGCTATACAGGTTCGTAAGTCTCTTATAAATAGACACAGTCTAATAGTTAGAAAGTAAATCCTGTTAGATATTTAGTCTTTTCCTGGTAATTTACTTGTTCAGGTCTTTCCTGCAGCTGAGACCTTTTCTTTCTTTTACTTCTTTTCTTTTCATCTGTTTATGTTGATGTGATGATTCTACTGTAACACTTAGTATTTTGGTCTTGATCTCACTTTACTAGGTCGGTCGTGGTTAATATGAGGTGTTGGCGTGTGCTGCACTTACTTCAGCCGAACTTTGAAATGTCAGTTACGAGTGCACATCAGTATTATGTGGGAAAGGGAATTAACTGTTTTTTAGTTTAAAAATTCAAATTTGGGTGGTTGTTTCTACAACAAATAGTTCTTTAAAAAAATTCTTCAAGCTAGTAGATAGTCGAGAAATTAATTTCATAAAGATTTGGCATTTTTACTGGTTTACTACTGGAATTTCTAGGCTATTATGTCAAACAAGGGTTTGCTTGGAATATTTTACTGCTTTAAGATTTCCCTGCCTTTTCAGTTGTTTCGTTTGCTCAGGTGGTCTTGGCCCACCTTCCTGGGAAACATTTCTTGTGACAGTTCTACATATATCTACTTTTAGGGATATTATTATTTTATAAAAGACTTGAATAAAATCTTAGCAAAAATCAATTATTTATTCTTATGAATTTCTTGTGTGTCTTTTTCTATACTCATGATTTGGTAATTTGTGATTTTGTCAGTGTTTCAGAGATTTGGAAAATACAAACAATTTCCATCTTCAAAATAAAAAGTAGACAAGCAGAAATGACTATTGTATGTAGTTTTTCTGTATGAGATGCTTTCTAAGTTACGTCTACGTAACTGAAGAGCACATTTTCTTTCCTGTTCAGCACACCCTCGGGGAAGTCTGGGTGCAGAAAACGTCTGAAATGGACACAGATAAACAGTATTTCTGTCGCACTCATTTGGGACATCTGCTAAATCCTGGAGACCTGGTGTTGGGGTTTGTATTATTTCATAGTATTTTAAACTGACAGTTAGCTTTGTAAATTTTTTTTGATAGCCAGCAGAGCTACCTAAATACTAAACTTGTTAATTCCAAAAAGATTTAAGAGTACTTGAGAGCCTTACCACTCATTTTTATTATTGATAATTAATTGAACTGTGGATTTGGACAGAACCTTATAGTTATTCCATTTTGGCCGTCATGCTCAGGGAGTCATTTTTCTAAGATTTTGATAATTGAACACGGAAGTTGTATGAATAGGTGCATATTTACAGCTTTTTTGAGGAGTAGTTTTTTTATTGTATATATGATTTTACTTTTAAGGTAAAGTAGCCAAGCCTGGCACAGTGGCTCACACCTGTAATCCTGATACTTGGGAGGTAGAAGTGGAAGGATTGCTAGAGGCTAGGAATTTAAAACCATCCTGAGCAAGGGGCTGAGGTCTCATTTATACAGAAGTTTTTAAAATTAGCTAGGCCTAGTGGTGCATTCCTGTAGTCCCAGCTTCTCGGGAGTCTGAAACAGGAACACTCTTAGTTATTAGCCTCTTAGCAAAAGAGTTAGACTGTTTCATTAAAAAAAGAAAAGATATTGCCGCCATATATGCAAAGGATTTATAAAGGCCTAGCCCAGTTCTTTTTGAATCAGAGCCCATCAGTGTACCTTAAATCCTTAAACGTTATTTTTTGTTCTTACAATTTCACTTCCTTTTACTAGAGAATGAGGGGCGGTTTTGATGTGTTTCGTTTGCTTTAAATAAACTAGATGGAACCATCTGACTGAATCCTACAGTTAGGCAGATATCTGTTTTGCTTTTACGAACATGTGGTAAGATGGACAATAACAATAATATTTGAAATTCAAGAGTTAAAAGCCTTATTATCTTTACCAGGGTCTGCAGAAGCACGTTCACTGTGTGAGAGGTGGCAAAACTTTTAAAGTGGGAAGCATATTAAATGTTTAATCTCAAGAAGGAATTTTAGTGATAGCCATAAAATAAAAAGTTATCCACGGAGGGTTAAATGGTTGTTAAGCTTTCCATTGTCTATGTTTCAGGTTTGATTTGGCCAACTGTAACTTAAATGATGAACACGTCAACAAAATGAACTCAGATAGAATTCCAGATGTGGTAAGGTTTTAGATTTTTACTTTTTCTGTATGAAAGAGGATTGATGTAACTCATGGGTAAAGTGCATGAGTCACATTTTCGAAAGTAACAAATCAATTGGGAGGTTTTTGAAACTGTGGAAAGGTATAATAGCACAAGTCTTACACTGCATTTTTCTTGGGGGGGGGGTAAATTCAAGATTTATTGAGATTTTTTGGTTGCTCTTATATCAAATTTCCTTCACTGTCCAAATATTTGATACAATCTATAGAGCAAAATTAAACTTACCACTAAAAATGGTGACCCTTAGAATTTATTCAAGTTCATTCTTTGGAGGCTCAGCTTATTTCGTGTATATCGTTCAGTTAGGAAGTTATTTAGAGTTAAGACCATTATTCAAAGTTAGAAATCTTTGTGATATCAAGTCTTGGAGAAAGATTATTTGCTTTAAAAAATCTGTTAAGGCTCCTTAGGTGCCTGTGGCTCAAGTGGCTAAGGTGCCAGCCACATACACCTAAGGTGGTGGGTTCGAATCTAGCCTGGGCCTGCCAAACAATGATGACTGCAACCAAAAAAAAAATAGCGAGGCGTTGTGGCGGGCGCCTGTGGTCCCAGCTACTTGGGAGGCGGAGGCAGGAGACTTGCTTGAGCCCAGGAGTTGAAGGTTGCTGTGAGCTGTGATGCCACAGCACTGCATGCAGGGGGATAGCTTGAGGCTCTGTCTCAAAAAAAAAAATCTGTTAAATTCTAACATGACAAGTTTAGGAATTAGGAGCAATAGTGAATGAAATCAGTGTGGAAAACTATTTTCTATTTCCTTAATCTTTGAGCATAAACATTGATTATTTAGCTGTGGATAAAAGTAAAGTCGTGATTGAAGAAGAAATCCCATTTCTCCTGCCCCTACCAATTAAGGTTTTATTAATTTATAAACTAAGAAATGGAGGTATGATTTAGGTTTAGGTCAAAATAGGTGTTTTTAACAAGGTCCTAAGAGGGGATTGTGACAATATTACATTTTGTGTTTTGTAAAATTGTTTTTATTCATTCATTCAACAGGTTATTACATAGTGTTCTAAGATACATTGTTGTGGAAGTTATGTATAGTTCTGTAAATGCTTTTTAGTGAGACTAAAAGAAAAAAACAGCCTGTGACATTCAGAGTGGTTTTATATGTGTGCATGGAGGCTGCCGCAGGAAGTTTGAGTTACAAAACAACCTGAAGTTTTTAGTATTTAAAAAAATTTAATATTCAGTAACTGGAAATTTTTAATTAGTTATTTTAATAATTATACAAATAATGCCCAAAATGCATTCTTGTAAGAAGTTAAATATGTGGAGAACAATTTTCAAAGCTCGCTTGACACTGACTCTGCACCCTGCTCCGCTCTCCTGGGGTAACTTCCCGGCATTCCCAGGACCTTTCACGTTTAACTTCATCGGGTTTTTCTGCTGCAGCTGTGTAGTTCCCATTTTTTTATAGCTGTGCAAATACTTCTGCTGCAGGTGTTAATCAAGAAGAGCTATGACCGAAGCAAACGTCAGCGTCGTAGAAACTGGAAACTGAAGGAGCTCGCGCGCGAGAGAGACAACATGGACACGGATGACGAAAGGTCTCGCCCTCTTTCCAGTTCCCTTTATCTCACACGTTGTCTCAAAGGAAATCCCTGTGATAAGTCGTTTTTGTGTTGTAAAGAAACAGGTATCACATAGTTGGTCCCTTGCACTCGGTATTACTCTTGGATGCCTATCAAGATATTGGTGGAATGGTATGAAGGGATGTTGTGACGTTTAACACAGAATTGGGAATAAATTCCTGAGTTATGACTGGGCAGTAGTGGTGTTGATGTAAACCATTCAGTTGGAAAGTTGAAGTACAGTCTTACATTGCTTAACGACAGGATACGAGGTCAGGGATGCCTCAGTAGGTGACTTTGTTACGGTGTAAACATTGTGGAGTGTACTTCTGCAAGCCGAGGTGGGAGAGCCTTCTGCACACCGAGGCTGTAAGGTGGGGCCCATTGCTCCTGGGCTATAAACCTGGACAGCAGGTTACTGTACCGAGTACTGTAGCAGTGGCAAGTTATATTTAGATATCTGTATATCTAAACATAGGAAAGTTGCAGTAAAAAATACGCATTGCAGTCCTGTGGGATCATTGTCGTGTGTGGTCCATAACTAACTGAAATATTGTTAAGCATCACGAGACTGTATAATAGCTGCTAATTCCATTATGGATATCATAAGTAGAAGTGGAGTCTTACAACTTGAAATAGAAAGAAAATAGCTCATTGACATCAAGTATGTTATTTTTTGAACAATTTAAGCATAATGAAGAGAATGTGTTCTAAAAATGTTTATTGAGTGGTGCTAAAAGTGATCTTGATGATGGCGAAAACACCACCGTCTAAAAACAATCTGAGTTTATATAAAATTTTTTCATGAAATAAGTTATAAATAGTATTTCTAACATACATTTTCATGAAATAATTTAAAATAGACATTAATGTGTTAAATACCGTAAGTACATATTTGACTTTTTCATCTGTGATCTTAAAAGTGTATATATTTTAGCTTGACCATCAGACTTCTTTAGGGGAGGGGAAAAGTGGGTTGGGCATCTTTTCATTATCTTATATTTAGCTGTTTTTCATGACATAATGTTCAAAGAAAAGATTTTTTAAAACCTAATGAATATTTTTATTCGATCTTCAGATATAATGTTTTAAGATTTTAATACTTAGAACACATTTATCTGATAGTGCAGAAAATGACTTCATGCTTTCTTGGTGAAGATGATATGTTTAAATGTTCTTTACCATATAGACAGTACCAGGATTTCCTTGAAGATCTTGAAGAAGATGAGGCAATTAGAAAGAATGTCAACATTTACAGAGGTTGGTGTTTTAGAATTGTTTGGTTTAAGTCATATGTTTTGTATATAAGTATAGTACCTATTATGAGTATTTTGATATCTTAAACATTGATTTCCATAGATGACTTTGTATTTTAAACTACTCTAGTTAAACTTTTACAAAAAAAACTTGCAGAACAGTGAAACTTATTTTTAGCTATGCTACATTTGATAGCATGTGCATCCTACTTTGATCTCTGAAATTGTTCATCCCTATAATTGTATGAATAAATTTTCTTGGTGGAAATTTATTCACACAGTTAGGCAGCTCATTCACTCAGTGAATATGATTTGAATTCCTGCTGTGGATAAGATACAAGCGCTTCTAAAACAACATCAATAATACTAACAGTAGTGGGGTCTGGTATATTTGTGTATTTTCAAATATACATATACTTTGTATACATAGAAATATTTTGTATTTTATTTGAAATCCTTTCTATATTTTTCTTAGATTCAACCATCCCTGTGGAAAGTGACACAGATGATGAGGGAGCACCTCGAATTAGTCTGGCTGAGATGCTTGAAGACCTTCACATTTCCCAGGATGCCACTGGTGAAGCAGGTGCCGCAATGATGACGTGAGATGGAGCTGCAGACTCCACGTCTGAGGGACCTGGTAGCTGGGCTCACCAGTACTCCTGTCTCTTCCATGTGTGCCTCCATATTGTGAGAGGAGAAATTTAGTTTTAAACTGAATAAATAATGACTATTTTGATGGCTCACTCAAAACACTGAAAATGATTGGTGGGTTTGAACTTTTAGATAGTAAAAGATTATGGAGATTGTAATTATTACTGACGTTTAGGCCATTTTATGTGTGGAATTTTATCACTGTGCTTTTTTATACAAGGCTCTGTAGTATTTTTACATACTATGGTGTTGGATATAAAAGCTCAAAGCTGGGGTTCCTTGGATGTTAACTAAATCTTTAAGCATAAAGCAAGTTTTTAACATTCTGTTTACATTAATTGCTTCAGTAGAAGAGCATATGAGTAATCATTTTTAATATTAATTTGCTAGGCACTTTCATCTACTTAGATCATTTTTATGGCCTTGGGTAGTTAGGGTTCAGCTGATCACTGGACTTTCATGAAGAAAATTAATCTTTTTTATTTCTTCATAAAATTAACATCTTCAAAAGCTATTAAAATGAGGGTTATCCTCATGATAGCAGAAAGAAATATATTTAAATATTTATGGATTTGAAGCAAACATAGATCAGTTATTTAAAGGTTAAATAACAGTTTGTTCTTGCCTGTATCTTCAGGTATCTTAAACTTTGATGCTTTAAGCTTAAGTCAGTAGCTGCTTATAAAATGTCTTCCTATCATGTCAAGGATTTTGCTTTTAAAATTTTGATTTACAAATTGAGGAGGAAGGAATTTTCTCTCTGTAAGTTTCTACATTGAACACATCATCATGAAAAGAAGGTTAGGTTACAGCATAAAGATGATGAAATAATAAATGTGGTGTACATCCTTTATGAAACCATGAATCAGATTTGAATGAGGAATGCCTTCTACATTCTTGAAAAAAAAGCTTGGGTTTTAAAGTCTTCTGAGAATGAAGTATTATTAAGATCCTGTTTTTATAAGAAGATCAGACTTATTAAGTGTGCCAAAACTAAGAGCTAATTCATTCATTCTGCATATACCACTAAATAAAGAGATTGAGGCTGGGCACACTGTGGTGGACACCTGTAATGCCAGCACTTTGGGAGGATCACTCAAGGCCAGGAATTTGAGACCAGCTTGAGCAACACAGCAAGACCCTTTATGAAAAATAAATAAGCCCAGTGAGGTTGCATACTCCTGTATTCCTAGCTATTCAAGGAGGCTGAGCCAGAAGGATTGCTTAAATCTGGGGGTTTGAGGTTGCAGCCCCCGCACTCTGGCCTGGGCAGCAGAGTGAGATCCTGTCTCTGAAAGGAAAGAAAAAACAAAAACCAAAGAACAAAACATTGAGTAAGTGCTGCTGCATGGGGCGTTTCTTTTGTTAAGGTTAGACTCCAATTTTCAAGTTATAAATAAAGGCCTATTTCCATAATGGCTCCTTTTCTGTCTGCATGATCAGTTAAAGTGTGGGTCTAAAAGCTACATCCTGTCCCTGCAGCGGTCTAGTAGGAATGGTTATTTTGGTTCTTCAAAGGTGAGCATGGCCACAGGCGGTTCTCACTTCTGATCTGTGCTTACCTCTATTATGTCAAGATTTTAAAAAGCATAAAAATAAAAACATTCTTGCTCCTTTTTTTTGTTGTTGAAGTGGTTACATCAGTGTCGTATTTATAAGAGAGGGTATCTCATTCAGTTTTTCAAAGTGCAATTATGTTACTTAAATACTTACATGATTTTCCCACAAAAAATATAGTTTCCCAGTAACTTTATTTAATTAATCTTACTCCTTTTGATGGTGTATCTTTATGAGTATTAAAACCTGTTGTTCAAAAAAGGCTGTGATAAGGCGAAGGAAAATGTAGCTAAGTGAAAAACTGTCATCCAAGAATTACATAGAGTTGAAACAACCTCAATAAATTTGCCATTTCACAGTTTGGTTCCCATGGTATAGAGGCTCGTGGTCCCACAGTGCTCTCTGATGTCTGAGAGTGGATGTGGGCTGAGAAGGCTGGTATCAAGTGCACAAGAAGCTCATTTATCGCTGATTTAGAAATAGGACTGATTTACACATCAGTATGATCACTGTTTTTTGTGGCCAGGTCTGCACTTGAAGGTGCTGTTCTGTAAGTAAAAGTCACTGATGAGCAAGGAGGGAGTTAAAGGAGAGAATTGCTCGTACAGTTGAGATGTTTAATAGCGTCAGGCTTACTCCTCGTCATGGCGGAGCCCAGAAACTCTAGGCTGTGTGCCAGGACCACACAGCTCCCTGGCCAGTACTCTCTGGCCAGTTGTGCCAGAGTTTCTCCCTAGGCTTTTTTTTTTTTTTAATTTTTCCTAGAGATAAGATCTTGCTCTGTCACCCAAGCTGGAGTGCCATGGCTTGGTCATAGCCCATTAGCTGCTTCAAACTCCGGGTTTCAAGCAGTCTTCCTACCTTGGCCTCTCAAAAGTGGTAAGTGCCTGGGCATGAGCCAATGTGCCTGACTGAGACCCTTAATTTTAGTAAATGTGTTCATGTTGAGTCAGTCTTTAGGTAAGTTTGTGTGTTATTTTTTTTTTGTTTTTGAGACAAGAGTCTCAAGCTGTCACCCTCGGTAGAGTGCTGTGGCATCACAACTCACAGCAACCTCAAACTTTTGGGCTTAAGCAATTCTCTTGCCTCAGCCTCCCAAGTAGCTGGGACTAGAGACACCTGCCACAATGCCCAGCTATTTTTTTTTTGTTTGTTTCAGTCGTCATTGCTGCTTTCAAGCAGGCCGGGGCCGGGTTCGTACCCGCCAGCCTCTGTGTATGTGACCAGTGCCCTACCCACTGAGCTACGGTATACTATGCCACTCTGGTATGTTATTTTTAGCTTACTTAGTTTATTTCTAAATAACAAGGAACATTTACTTTTTAAGAAAATTTATTTTCAATTTTGCCATGATTTCAGATTTACAAAAAGGTTGCAAGATTTCCTGGATACCTTTTACCCACATTTGCCCAGATTGCCAAAAGTAAACATTTTCTCTCATTTGCTTTATTTCCCTCTCATTAAATATTTTTTTTCCTAAGTATTTAAGAGTGGAGAACAGATGTGATGCTTCTATACTCTCAAAATATTTTAGTGTTTTGAGTGGTGCCTGTGCCTAAAGGAGTAGGGTGCCAGCCCCATATGCCGGGGGTGGCAGGTTCAAACCCAGCCCCAGCCAAAAACTGCAAAAAAAAAAAAAAGAATTCTTTGTTTCCCCACCACCCAAGAAGAGATTCTCTCTAATCATAGTTCAGTGATCAAAATCAGAAGTTTCACATTGACACAGAACTGTTGCCTGATGGATAAGAGTATATTGTGAGTTTCTCAGTTACGCCAATAAAGCCCTGCAGGAGGATAGTCTCGGGCGTTCCACATCCTGTGTTCTCCCACCTCCTTAGTCCTCTCCAGTCTGGATGGTTCCTGAGTGTAAGTTTCATGTGTGTGACATGTTTCTTCTTTTTTAATTCCTCAGACTGGGGGTGTAATTGAATTCTATAGAGTTGACGTCAGTTTGGGTTTGGCGTTTTCTCGTGATTCATTTTAGGTTTGGCCCTTTTGGCAGGAGTGACAGGGAGTGACGTCAGATTCTTAGTGCGCTGCCTCAGGAGGCAGGAGCTGTTGGTGCGCGTGGGTGTTCCCACACTTCTCTGGGTTAGTAGCTGGTTTGTTGTCAGGTAGAGATTTTCCTTTTCCTTTTCTTTTTTTTTTTTTAATGAGACAGAGTCTTGCTATGTGGCCCTGGGTAGAGTTCTGCAGAGTCACAGCTCACAGCAACCTCAAACTCTTTGGGCTTAAGCGATTCTCCTGCCTCAGCCTCCCCAGTAGCTGGAACTACAGGCGCCTCCCACACCTGGCTATTTTTTTGTTGCAGCTGTCACTGTTTAGCAGGCACGGGCCAGCTCGAACCCGCCAGTTTCGGTGTATGTGGCCGGTGCCCTGACCACTGAGTATGGGTGCTGAGCCGAGATTTTCCTTTTTTGTGTATCTGCTTATTCATCTGTTTTTCATACCAACGTGGACTTCTGTATTTTTAACTCAGTAGGATTTAATCCTTTATGACTGTTATTTTCACTGACTTTTTGAAAAGTTCATTTTCAACTTACACAGTGGTATTTACTCTTTGATTTACAGGTCTATAAGTTTTAACGCACAGATACGTAATCACCACAATTAAAATACAGAACAAATCTATCATAGCCCCCCCAATACCCTTGTCCTTTTTCCCCAAACTCTTCTATTGTCCCTAACATCTGTCAACTCCTGATCTGTTCGCTGACTTTTATAGCTTGCTTTTGCCAAAATGTCATATAAGTGAAATCACACAGCACCCAGCCTATTACGTCTGTTTTCTTAGCATGGCACACTTAAGGTTCATAAAAGCTGTATATTGAGAGTTTGCTCCATTGTATAGCACACCCCAGTCCATCCATTCCTGTGTTGAGACAGATTTGAGTAAAGCTCCTACGAACATTTCTGTACAAGGTTTACTTGCTTACGTACCTTGAAATGGGGTTGTTGGACCCTAAAGTAAGTAAATCCTATATTTAACTTTTTTTCTTTTGTTTTTTAATTTCAGATTATTATGAGGGCACAAACGGTTAGGTTACAATATTGGCATTTGTCAGGGGAGGCCCCTGCTGTAGTCATGCTCCTCTCCAGGGCAGGCCCTGTACCCTGCCTGCTTTGTGCCATCAGGTGGGGGCACAGTCCTCCCCGTCCCCCTTCCTCACCCTACTTCACTTTATAAAAACCCAACAGACTGGTTTCCTCAGGGGCTTGTACCTTTGTGCTTTCCGCCCAGTGGTGGGTGGTTCAGTCACTTTGTCACCTTGTCATTGGCTGGTGGTGTCAGTTTTTTTAAAAAAGCACGCTAACAAGTGGATAGTGGTGTCAACTGTGTGTTAATTTGCACTCCTAGTGGCTAACAACCCCGCTGAGCGTCTTTTCATCTGCTTATTTGTCCATAGGTCTTTTTTTGTAAAATAGCTGTGCAGATCTTTCTTTCGTCTGTTTTTAACATTTGAGTTGTGTCTTAGTTTGGGCAGCTGTAACTGTAATGAGTACATAGACTGGGTGGCTTAAATAACAGAAACTTAGGATTTGAAGTTCTGGAGGCTGGGAGGTCTGCCATCTGGGAGCCCAGGGCCAGGCTCTGGGGAAAGCCTTTTCTGGTTTGCACCGTTGTCTTCTGGCTGTGTCCCCACACAGTAGAGAGTAGAGAGAAGAGGCGAGCTGGCTGGTATCTCTCACCCTTCAGAAAAGCACCGATGGCATCGGATGGCTGCACCTTCCCAGCCTAATCACCTGTGAAGTCTCTACCTCTTAATGCCATCCATTAGGGGTTAGGGGCGTAGGGGTTCAACAGGAATTCAGGGGGTGAGGAAATAAACCTTCACTCTGTGGCAGGTGGGTTGCTTTCTTAGTGGGTTACTTGTTTTGATGTTGTGTTTTTCCAGAGATAGTGGGTGTTCCTTCAAGCTGGGTCCTCCCTCTGTCCTTTTGATAAGAGCTTTTTTTATTAATACCCAAAATAAATTAACTGGGAAAAATTAAGGGTCTACATAGCTTCTGAGACGGCGTATTTTAGTTTTTGTGGCTATTCAAATACTTCTGCATTTGCAGGTAGGACCTCTGAGTTCATTTAGCATTTCTGTGCCAGGCATTGCTGAATGCTCAGTGTTTTTAACTCACTGAATCCTCACAACCAGGTAGGTAGGTGCAATAATTAGCCCATTTATGGGTACAGTAATTAACCCATTTTATGAACTGAGCCATAGAGAGTTAAAAAAAATCTGGCCCAAAGTCCATGACTAGTCAGTCACAGTGCCACGTTCAAACTCTGAAGGAGCCGTGGAGCCTACGACCATCTGTAAACCACTGTCATGCTCCACATGCCTGCTCAGACACCCACGGCCTCCAGGCCCCACACACATGCTCAAACACAGTGCATGGCCCCCAGGACCCACATGCCTGCTCAGACACAGTGCACAGTGCACGGCCTCCAGGACACACACGCTGCTCAGACACAGTACACGGTGCACGGCCTCCAGGACCCACACGCTGCTCAGACACAGTACACGGTGCACGGCCTCCAGGACCCACAC